ACATATATATGTTTTGCTGAATGAGCTGGTGAAACGCCGCTTGACTTGCTAAATGTGTGGATTTCGTTTTGATAGATAGGCTCGTCCGTGATTTGACATTAGACGAAACGGTGACATGCGGCACGGGACTTGACCATAAGTGGGCGATATAGACATACGTATGTTTGAATGTACGATATTTAGCCACATTGTGTGATTTACTTTTAAAGTTTTTCGACGATGATTCGATGAATGAGGATTTGGAAAGCAATAGTGATATTATGGCATTAATAATATTTTAATTTGATACAAAAAGTATAAATTTGAAATGAAAGGTTCAAGATTTGCCTGAAAGGCTTATAAAAATTCTATACAGAATCAAGCGCCTAAAGTTATACAATTTTCATTTTCTATGTATTAAAACTTTAATTTTTGAGAAAATAATCTTATTATTTTTTAAATATTTTTTCGACAAAATATTTTTCAGGTTATTTTCCAAAAGAAATTGAAATAGGATGAATCAGATATTTCCTGATAGTATTGAATTTTTACGTTTTTGTATTTATTTTTTGGTCAGCTCTAACTCTCTTTTGTGTGAAAATGAGAAGAATTTATAATTTTTTAACAAAGCCTTATTGAGAAAGCAATTAAGTTGAATGTCTAAAAATATTTAGTGATTAGATTATACGTACTGTATAAAGAGAGATAAATGAATATAAATGTACATAAACTTTATTACATTTTCTTTACTACATTGTGAAAAAATTTAAGAAAAGTAAAATAAGAAGCTTTAAGGAATTAAGTTTTTCATTGGATCAATTTCTTTTTTGTTAACTAAGGACGTAGCTTTGCTTTTAGATTTTAACTACAAATATTTGCTTAGTTTCTCAAAGTTTTCTGATGACTCATTAATTTCTTTCTCTACCCACCTATGCGATTTAGCCAATTTCGTTTTGCTCACCAAACTTAAGCAACCGTATTGACCTATTGCAGACTTTAACACTTTGAACTGCAAGAGCTAAAAGTCAAATGGAGTAGGCGAAAAATTCATGCCGATTAAATCGACTGAAAATAAAATAAATGCCAAATATATACAAAACGACAAAGAGAGAGAAAAAAATCTGCGAAGCACACGGCAGATGCACCAAATCTCACAAGCAACGATTTAGGGGAAAGCAAAAAACAAAAACAAATAGAATGCATGCGATGAGTTGCGAAAGAAAAAAATGCTTCTATTTTATCTATTTTTGGTTCAAGAAGTAACTGAGAAATGCCGCAATATAAAGTGGCATCGTGACCAAATGAAATTTATCAGAAACCAACGAAATATTCTTATCACTATGCAGCGATCGAACCAGAGCCAACAATGACACACAAACTAACAGTCACACAGAATTAACAAAAGCTCATAGAAAGCAGCGCTGAATTGGCAATAGCCAGAGCTAAAGAAGGCAATGATGTAGGCAGCAATGGACGGCGAATGTGGCGAACGAACAAATCTCTGAAATATGGCAATTTTGTTTAAATGTAAGTATGTATGTATGGTATATTTATGTATTCACATTTACTTCTGCCGCGCTTTCCGTTTAGCTTGTAAATTATTCATAATCTTTATGGGAAAGACCGCCTCTTATTGGCTTTTCTTGACATTATCATCACTTTCAACGTTTTGACCACAAAACGAAGCTTACTTTGATGCTTTAGAAATGAACTTTTAATATGCTACTTTAATATGAAAGCAAAAAGTGAGAAAACATAAGTTAAAGAAGAAGCAAAAAGTGACAAAAACTTGCTGCCACTCATTCGCATGCCACATAACGTTTACGTAAGTGAAAAAATAAATGTAAAAACAAAACTCGGAAATTATGTGCGTGACACATTTTGATTACTTGGCTTTTGTTTACAAATCTATATTGCTCGGCACACACAAGTGCCTATTTCTCTGGTTGACCCACATTTTGTGCATGTTAACGGTAAAATTTTAATAGTTTTTCACTTACGACGTGACGATATAAAGCGCTAAGCTACAAATTGCCTAAATGCATTAACAATTGCTGTTGTTTTTGTATTTATTTTTACAACTTGGACATTTAAACCGTCTAAGCGGGGCTTATTGCTTTGTTCGGCATGACTCACAGTGCCGACGTAGAAATAAACTGTTGGTGCTTTTTTGGCTTTGCAATTAGTTGGTTGATTGACTGAGTGCTTATTTTCGAAGAAGGGTCGGTGAAACGGAGTCTCAGATATGAATTTGAAATTACCAAAACGGCTTTAATTTTTTGCAACTTAAATGAAAAAAGGAAATCGGAAATTAAGGTAATGTATAAAAAATTAAGAAATATTAAATACAAATTCCAATTTCTTCTCCTTGAGTATGGACCAGTTTTAGTATTATTCTGCCGACTTTGAGATAGCTTCTCGATTATTATTAAACAAGCAAAATTCGATTTTAAAAGGTTTTTGGAAACCTATATCCTTACTCCTAAAGGTAGTTCAACATTACTATATGATACCATCACAAACCAGTCACAAAAATTGTTGCCTACATTTTGGCGCTGAAGATTAAAATTCTGACTTCATTGAATATTTCACAAAGCATTTTAAAGTAAATGGTTATTTGTTGGAATATTATTAACACACAGCTTTCCAATTTTGTTGTCTACATTTTGGCGCAATGTATATAGTAGTATTGAAAATAGAAAGACTGAACTCCTCTAATTTTTATATGGGTATAGGATAAGCAAATAATACTGAGATTATTAGTTTACACTACGGTTTACTTAAGAAAGCTTTTGATAGCACAAATGTTGCTTTGATTTTAGCGCATTGATTTAAATCTTAACTGAAAATGAGACCTAAGTTTCACAGCAGTTCTCAAGTCAGTCGTTACTATATAATTTTCGAAAATGCTTAAAAATATTTTCGAAAATTGACAAAAATGCTTCTCTAGCGATGTTCTATGAAGTTTTTTGTCTAGAGTTTAGGTATTCTTATTTATTAAATATTGTTTGAGAAATCATTCTGATCTTATTTGCCATGCACTAATTTCCTTTAATTATGAAAATCAAAACTTCATTACAGGCCACAATTAGATATACATGCCCATCAACACTCAAATAACAAAACAAACAGAGCTATCAAACGCCATTCCACAAAAATTTGCTCTACTTAAACCTCAAAACAATAAATAAATAAAAACGTAAATTTAAAAATTACGCCAGTGAAACTGTGCTATAAAGAAAAGCAAATATCGAAAGCGAGAAAAAAATTCTCATACTAAACAAGAAATAAATTTAGGAAAAGTTAAAATGCACGAAAAGAAGCTCATATTTCCTCTATCGACAATGCAACTAAACATTGATATTGCTCATGAAAATCTAGACAACATTTAATGATGAATAATGCTGCAACAACAAACAGCGGGCTTAATAGTCCAACAATTCACATTCAAGTGAATAACGTAGTGCAAATATATGGTTAAAAATAAAGTAAATAAAAAATGTAAAAACTAAAATTGTAAAAATCACATTATAATGCATATGATAAACATACACACATCTGTACAAATGTACAGCAGCATAACTACACCTTTTTGCCAAAATCGCCAGCAGCAAACGGCACTGACAGTGATGATCGCCAAATACATTTACTACACAATTTGGATGCAACTCTTTTAATATACACACACATATACATACATATAGGTCTGTATGTTACCACACATGTGTTTTTGTGTCGCTTCGTGTGCGCCGCGTGTTGCGGTTCGCCTGATTAAAATAATGGTTTTAGTTGCGTCGACTTGAATTAAGTGAAACGGCAGCAACCTACACGCTTATGGTCATTTATAGCGCAGCGCTCACACATACACGTATATAAATCTATACACTCGTTTATGCACATGCTAGCTGCGCTTTATGGGCATCTCTACTGCAAGCGACTGCACTTTTGTTCGCAGGCATCCGCTGTGGCAATTAGTGAACCATGTCAGTGGCTGTTTTGGTTAAAAATGTCAAGTTCGAGTTTCCACTAACAGAAACAATAAGTAAATAAAACCATATGGGAACTGGAAAATAAAGAAATAATATGTCAAAATACACTCCCACATAGGAAGTTCGAGGCAACCGAGCGTTGATTTGTGCGGTCACGGCAAACCCTTTAGTTGTGTTCGTGTCGGCTTACGCAGACAAAATTAGTATTTCCACAGAAATTGACAATGTGCGCACTTTGTTCATATATAACTCACTTGGATTTTGTGGTTTACTAATTAAAATTTCAAGGATATCTGGATTTTACTACCAATAATGAATAAAACCAATTATATTGTTTTGAGACATGATATTGTATTAAATATTCAAAATTTCAGTTAATCGCGATTCAGTAGAAGTATAATAACAGCATGCTTATTAAGATGTATACTTTTAGTATAACGATATTTCTCTTTTGAGAGAGAGAAAAAGAAAGAGAGACAGAGAATGAGATAGAAATGTTCAGCTTAATGCTGCTGACAACTTAAAATTCCTTAGAGTTCACATATATTTTTTTCATATTGACTGCTAGAGAGTTGAACTGGTCAAATACAATTGCTCATCCTCCTCCACATTTCGTACGAGATTATTTTCTATATAAGTATGCATTTACGAGTACTTTTACACACTATTATACAATATTACATATGTTAAGTAGTATTTATACTTTTCCTAGATGTTCAGGAGAACCTCTTTTCCGATTTATTTTATACGATTTGAAGTTATTTATAAAATGAAGATCAATAGCGATTTTTATATGTCAGAGATAGTCTTAATGTTCTAAACTCTCTCTTTTAAGGATAAAAGTCTGAAGTGAGAGTGGATTTCTAGCACATCCACAAAAACAATTTCAAAATTATTGCAAAGCATTACTGCGATAAAAATTCGATATAAACTAGTATTTTTCAAACATTAAGCTGAAAATATAGTGAAATAGCGGAAATAAAAGGTTGGTTCTTTTTGTTTGGACCTGAAGTGACAGGGAATAAAACAAAATTTGCTATATGATATTCTTTTATTTGATACACTAACATTCATAACATCAGCAAGCTCTGAAAATTATTTTTTTATATCAAGAAAGAATTAAGTGCGCCATTTTTTCATCCACGGTTATACTATATAGCTATAACACGTGAGAATTTATTAACTAATTTAGAACTCAGTCTCTTTTATACTTCTGCCGATCAGCATTGAAGATAATCCATTTTAGCACTTGAAGGAAATTGCTTCACGAAAATCTCTATAACTTTGCTAGTTTACAATACTTACATAAAACTTAGCATATATCTAGGTATATAAACAGAATGTAGTTGTAGGTCTAAAAGCAGAATCTTTTGGAAAAACAACATTATTTGTTAATACAATAATTGAAGTTCTTATAATAACAGCATCATTACAATATTTTACTTTAGCATTTACTGTATCACTGCAACTGCCGGGAATCTTTTTGCAGATAGATTGACAAACTAACCCAGTGTTGCAACGAGAATATCCAATTTGGAAACACTCGTCGAGCAAATCTTCTACCGACTTGTTGTTGTAAGATGGTATTAAAGACACATCTGCAGGAGTTGTTGGAATATGTGCAGTCATGTATGATGTGGAAATGGTTGCCATGGCATGTGATGATGAGGATAGTCCCTGAAATTAAAAATATAATAATAAATATAAATGCATTTAAAAAATTGTATTGCTGTTACTCACCTTTTGAGCGAAAGAAATCCGTGTAGTTGATTTAAAATTGTAATGCGATGCAATCAGCTAAACTGCGGCGATGCGATGCAACAGGATGTGTGCGAGCGGCCAAATATGGTGCGAAATGCGTGTACGCTGACAGCGACAGCGACAGCAACAAGAACAGCATGAACAACGCAACAACCACTATACCGAATAGTATATTTATTTCTAGTTTTTAACTGTGGTCTACTGAAGCACTGCTGATGACGCTGTAATGCCTCAAGTGAGCGAATTATTGGCAATTTCTTCGTGCAGTTTTATTTTTTGGCGCTGCAATCAGCAACCAACAATCACACACACACACACATAACACTTTTATATACACAATCTTTCATCATATGCGTGCAAACGTGTTGTCTTTTTGTATGTTTGTCGTTTACTTCTGATATGGCAACGCGTTTTGTTTGGCTCTTGCTGCGCGCCGTGGGTGGAAATGAAAAGTGATAATTGCAAAATTGCACACAACTTCGATGTGCAACAGTTTATTTAATTTTTCGATTATTTGGCTAGTTTATGCGCCTGCGTTTAACTTGCATTCTCCGGTGTCTTTGTAATTTTTTGTTATTATTTATTGGCAGGCGTGCTCTTCTTTTAGCTGATATGATGTTGAGGTTCACTTATTTTGTTTTGGAATTTACATCTTCCAATATATTGTAGAATGGTGTATTTTATTTATTTGATTTGAGTTATAATTTTTTTCAACTGAAATTAGAAAAAAAGATACATATTGTATATATTTATTTTTCAATTAAATCAAATTCGAAATTTTTTGTCAACAAAATATTCTTGATTTGAGATATATAGAGAAATATAATTTATAACTCTTTTTATACAGAGTTAGACGCTTTTCGTCATTTAATAACTCTATGTATACTACAAATAGTGCTTATACGCTTCTAAAAAATTTAAACTTTTCCAAAACTTCCAGAATAGAAAATAACATCAACTAACATCATCTAATATATATATGATGTTACATGTTAAACATATAAGATCTAAATTGAACTGACTTTCTCATCAATAACTAGTTATGATAGAAATCGATGTAAACATTTTTTACACTCATGAAATATATTGCTCATAATATAATATGGACTGTATGTTATAGATTTATTCCATTACTACATATATACTCCTAATATAAAAACATCTTGTTAGAGCAGCTAGTCATAAGCATGGAGAAATTTTGTATAGCAATTCAAAACTACATTAATATGAAAATTTAGTTTGGAAAGTTGAAGTAGAAATTAATGTTCCTTGCTGAAAAGACATTGTCGTAGTTAATAATGTAAGAAAACCGAAGTATATTAACAAATAACACATTAAAATATAATAGAGGCTAGCAAAGGAAGCTTTTCAATTTTGGAAAAGTACTGTAATGATTAATAAAATCTAGTTAGGGTGCTAATAAACAAATATAATATTTAGTTTATGCTGCACATATACAAAATTTGAGTGGCACATCTAATGTAAAGTTAATAACAACAAAAAAATTTTAGTTTTACTTCGATACTTCTAAAAGTAATATACTAAAAGTTTTCAGTCGATTTCTCAAATAGTTTATCTTCAAAAGCGTTTTTCTCGAAACGACATTTTTCGAATACGCCTGAATGATTACTCGAAGTGCTACGATCACTATTACATTTTTTGCATGATCTATGTATTTTTTCAGAAAATAACCTACCAGTTTTTTATCTGATCACAAATCAGACAAGCCAAAAACGACCAAAATTTTAGGTAAAATTCAACTTTGTTTTTAAATGGTCGACTGTAGTTGATTGTATGATTATTATCTTCTAGTAAGAATTTTTTTTAGCTTTCAGTTAGGGAGCAAGCCTAAATAAAAAACACAAACAAAAGAAAAATTGGCCGAAATTATTTAAGCGGTCATTTACAATAAGCATTTGCCGCCTGCGAAACACGGAACCACAACACTCGAACAGAAATCGCTATTCGAATTAACGGCCACATCAAAATTGATTTCATTTACATTTAACGCATACACAAACACGGCGAGCAGTTATTGCGTATGCGCATCAAAATGAAATTTGCATGCAATGGAGTGTTGGATAATTTTGTTTTCTTATTACATCGCTTTTATTGTTGCTACTTTTGGCTATTTCGTTTGTTTTGTCGCCTTTTGATGCGCCGACGTGACAGCCGAACATTTCTCAAATGGGACACGCTTTTATTAGCATAAATATCGATGTGTGTATATATGACATCAGCGGTTTGTCGTCGGCACTGACGGACGCATATCTATGCGTGGCATCAATAATGTCACCCTATATTCCCCTCCCCCTACAAGTATGCTACTGTTGGCGGTTGCAGCGTGTATGAATAATCGCAATCAGAACTGGATCTACCAAAGTGTTCAATATCACCGACAACAACAACATAAATGTGTTTATGAGTGCGCACATTCGCGTGTTCATCTTGATAAGCAATGCCGTCATCCGCAAGTGAGTGAGCCAACCCATTTCATGCTTTATAAGGATCTGAGTTCGTAAAAGTGATAAATGCCTCGCCAGCCAAATACTACTGCATCCACTATTATTGTTGTTGTTTTTTGTGTAGCTGCTTGCAACAGCACCTTTGTTGACACATTTGCTTGCCACACCATTTTTGGCCATGACTTACAAGTGACAATGGAATTGTATGCAAAGCAGCTGTCAATAAATTAAATTGAAATTATTTCAGTTATAAATATAAAAGCAGGCTTTGCGCTGAAATATATACTAAGGAACGTTTGCTATAGCCACGTGTGAACTCAGCCTATTACTTATGTGCGCAAGATAAGTTTTTAATTGGTTTTGCATAGCGATACAAAGTCTGTCAGTGAAGAGAGCTTAATATCTTTGCTAGTTGAGTTCTTGACTCCGGTAAATACTAGAATTATTTGTTATGTGTTATGTTCTCAATTTCCATAATATTCATTGAAATTCTTTTTAAAGAAGCTAAATTTATATATAATTATGAACAGCTCAGATTTTTTGATTGATAAACTGATCATTAGACTATTGAGTTGGTAGACTTCTGCCGACTAGGTTTACGTATATTATTGATGCTATCTCAAAAAATTTTATTTTCTTTTTGCCACATCTTGCTATTTGCACTCAGCGCTCAACCTAATCTAAGTTGTCAAACTCAACTTGTACACAAACAAATTAACCACCATAGTTTTAATAGGCACAATTTTGGAACTATATTTAGTTTTTAATATTTCGCCACTATTTTTTACAAAACTTTATTCTGTTTACCTTTCGCAAACTCATTTTACTGTCGCATAATTTTCAGCATGTTAAGTAACTCATTAGCATTTTAATCTCCTCATGTAAATGGTTGAAAGCTCAGTTAATTTTTTTACCTATCAGCAAAACAAGCGAAGTAATTAAAATGGTATTATGTTTTATTTGTTTTCGAGGTTGTGAACAATTTTCAATTTTAATTTTAACCGAATTAGTTTCTATTGCTTTAATTGTTCAGAGATCTGCGATGATCAAACATTTAAAAAATATTAAAAATTGGCAATAGAGGTAAGCAAAGATAAGCAGACATGAGTTTTAGAATAATAATATATCGATCAAATATTTATTTATCGACAGATGGAACACTTTTATTTTAAGAAGACACGGTGAAGTAGAAATTTAAATGAGCGTACAAGACTTAGCAAATCTTTATTATAATATTAATGACATGAAGCTGAAATTGTTTTAAAAATTAAAAATAAGCAACTTCTCTTAGTTAAGACCTTCTAAAAAAATATGCGTCCTCATGAAATATTTAGTCAGAATATCTTTGGTTTTCCGCACTCTAAATTTCTAAATTCTCACTACCACACGGTTAGTAGTTTATCACTCTCGGTGTGCGACTTCTCTAATTCTAAAAACGCGCCAAAGTGTATACAATAACATATTTGAGTTGTTTTAATTGAAGTTTACACTAAAAAACTGCTTAATTTATCATTATATAGTACAAAAATTGATTTTCAACGGAAGCAAAAAGAACTAGAAGAAAAAACACTACATAACAATAAATTAACTCTATTTTTCTAAAAAAAATTCGGTTAACATTTTTTCTGTTAAATCATTTGAATATATTTTTATTAACAAGCGAAGAGTTAGGTAAAAAATCGTTTGTTTTCAGGCTCATACATTGAAGGTCAGGCTTGAATCAATGCCGGAGATGCCACACGTGTATTCTATTAAATCATAAGAAAATTTCCTAAAAATCAAAACATCTGACAAGGAAAAAAAATACCCAAATTCGTAGCTCATACAACATATTTTCGCTTTATCTTTACATCGTACAATTATTCGCTGAACTTGGCGCTGCTTTTCTCCCAAAATCTTGACATCAGTGTTGTAATATTACAAACACACTCAAAGCAATATTGAAAGTAATAAAAGTAAATTGTTGCTGCATTCGTCTAAGTTGCTGTTGCCATTGAACATAAAGTCTGTGTTTCTTCTCGATAGCGTTCGCTGCTTTTGCGTTGTCTGCATACTCGTACGTCAGTCTTTCAACTGGTTTAATTTTTCATGTTGCAAGCGGATGCTGCAACATATGCTATGTGTATTTGTTGGTGTTTCTTGTTTTGTTGGAGTTGAAAGTGCAGTTTGAAAACTGGATATGAAATCAGGATTTTTGTTGATTACTTTTCTTATTTTGCTCTCGTATTATCGTCGGGTGAAAGTGAGTGATTTGGTTTTGTATTGCTGAAATTGGCAGTGTCGCAATGAGGATATTGATGCAGCGAAAGCTGTTGTGGTGAAGCATTGGTAGTGGGAGATAGTAATATGAGTTGTTTTGGTGAATAAATTGTCTTGAGTCCTGCAGATTAATTGTTTTAGCATTGAATTTTTCTTCTTAGCTTTTTTCAAAATAACTGCACTTTTGAAATGTAATGGCTATTGTAATACTTATTCCACTGTGTCAAAGGCTTATTATTTATTTAATATAGAAATTTTAAAAATTAAATTGAAAATGCCAGTAATAGGTGGAAAGTATTTTACATAGAAAATTTTTGTTTAATGTTATCATATACAAAATTATTTATAATTAAAAAAAAAATTGTAAAACGAAAATATTCCTATATCCTGATAGAGAAAAGCCTTTATTGTCAGATAAGCTTATGATACAAAATTTCTAAGAGCGAAAATAAAAATTTTTTTTTTTTTAAATATAGTCATATAATATGTCAGGGAATGTAATAAAGAAGTATATTAGGAAAGAAAATTTGGTTGCGAATAATACGCAACATCTACAGTTATGTTTATAGATATCCGATTTTAATAATTTAGAAACTTTTTGTAGAAAAAAGGAGTAACTAATATATTCTGTAGTTAATAATACCCTAAGTAGAGTATTTAAATGTTGTTTTAAAAACTATTGCCTACATTTAGGCGTACAGAGCAAAATATAAGAAAGAAGTCCTTAAAAAATGCTAGAAATTTATGGGAAAGAGAAAAGAGGCTAATACTTACGACAAGCGTTCATTGTATATGTATCATATGATTTAAGGCGACAAAGTGAAAGATTTAAAAAAAAATTTAACAAATCACGCCGATGACACTTGTGGAAAAGTCTGTACATAAAAAAAACCGAAATATTCAGTGACATAAAAACAATACTTCATTTGTATTTAAATCAACATACATTAGTGACTTAATATATATGCTGCCAAACAACAGACATTACGT